GAGCCAGCTCCCGGCAGTGTGGGGAAGACACCAGCTCCAGGGCAGCTTGCAAGATGAGGTCATTTGCTCCTTTCTCCAGGGGAATAAGTGACAGAGACACGGGTGTGCGGACCAATGGAGAGTGAGGTTGGAGGGAATGTCCTTAACACGTTCCCCAATGGGAAGCAGTTTTGCTTTTCCTTCCGTCCTCTCTCCCTGCAGGGCATTAGACCAAGCACTCACTGGGAAACCAGTGCTGGTGCCAGCGGCTACTGTGGGTTCCCAGGCTGCTTTTTCTGAGACAGGTAAATGAACCCTCCTGCTTGCCACTCAGGGACATTCTGTATGCTCTAAGGGGGCCTGGGAGGGTGGGGGGGACTCAATGGGCCCATATCACAGTGACGAATGGGTCACAGTGCCAAGACTCGCCCATCTTCTCCTCCCTGGCATCTGGTTATTGTTGATCACACATGACTACCCCTCTGAACTTAATTTATTAGAGCAATTTTAGAAAGTGCCTGGGCAGGGAAGGCTGATGAGAAGCAATGCTGCCAGTTTGGAGACAGGTGGAAGGAACCTCTAGGGAGTCCATGAGGGCTGCCTCCCTTGGGACTGCCCCTGATCTGCCCCTTGTCCCAGATATGTCCCTTCTCGATCCTCTGCCCCAACTATCCTGTTTCTCCTCAGCCAGCCAGCCCACTGGAGGGAAATCAAGTGTACAAGTGCATCGTATGCCATTAGAGATCAGGGCAACACGCAGTAAGCCCCGTTGTGTCTCCTAGTGTGCCACCCTCCTGGCAGAGAACCTGGACAGCCTTCATGCTTGGCTCCTCGGGGACCTCACTGTAGGGGACGGCCCCATCTCCTCCTGAGGAAAGGCTGGCTTTTATGTGTTGGTGACCATGACTTGCACCATGTAGCCCAAGGTCCTGGCCATCCCTCTTTGGTCAGGAGATGGCAGTTATCATAAGGACAGGCTTACAAGCTGGTTTAGCCGAATCTCACACTCACTGCTGTCGAGTCAATCCCGACTGACAGTGACCCTATGGGACAGGGTAGAGCTGCTTCCGTGAGTTTCTGAGGCTGTGACTCTTTACAGGAGTAGAAAGTCCTGTCTTTTTTTTTTTTT